CGTAAATATTTACGATTCCAATGGAATAAATTATGACCATGGAATATTAGTGTTTAAGCCTTTTTATATATATATATATATATATATATATATATATATATATATATATATATGTGTGTGTGTGTGTGTGTGTATGTATCAGTGCGATTACACAAGTCAGAAATTTAACTTTCAGATGTACGCAAAAATTGGTATTAAACAATACCCTGATGATGACATTCTGCTGTTTCGAAAGTACTTGGAATATACGAAATATGTATGAACACGGTGATTTTCTCGCATCCTTCAATAACGACACCCAAAAGCTTATCCGTGAATATGAAAGGATCCAGTTGAAAAACAGAACATATCTAAATTATTCAACGAAACATATCGCAATGAAAATATGCTGCCAAAATATACGCATATATATATATATATATATATATATATATATATATATATATATAATTTAATGAAAAAGATAAGTTTAAGCGTCCATTGCTTATAATTTATTTCTCCAGGCGATTTCTTTTTCACGGGCTCATCAGACCACACTTCCAAGTGTGAATATATATATATATATATATATATATATATATATATATATATATGACATGATTATGCTCTCGATAATTTCGATTGGGCACTGTTGAGGCAGAGGGTAATTCTAAACACCAGCCGTCTCCCCTAACGCAATGCCCTTTATTAAATAAATCGAGCACTGATGATACAGTGAAACAGGCTTGTATGTGGATGACATTCATTTTATATATATATATATATATATATATATATATATATATATATACTTTTTTTACAAGGATCAAATTACTGTTCACCTTACTCCTTTCTATTAATGAGGCGGTGTAATGGTTAGCAAACTAGAACAATTACGAGTGAGTTCGATCCTCACTGGATGCCTCCTACTTTCAGCCTTGTGCCACATCTAAGCTATGCTTGGAAAATCACTATTAACGAATCTGGCAGCTTTGGTCTACTTTTTCTCCCTTACACACGCCCACGTTCTCGTCGTTTCTGTCATTCTGTCAGTCTCTTTGCCTTTAGCCATAATACGTCATTTCCTCGAATCTAATTCTCTGCCTTTAATTCCTGGTTGATTGGCCTTTTTACAATAAACGTCCTTTGAGTAAAACATCTTACCCAAGTCCGATAATCCCTTGTTTATTGCTGTTAAGTTCAATTAATCACGCTTTTCATCGAAATTACCGTCGAATGGCAATTAATTACGCATACTTGATCATAATCACCGAACAACGAGGCAAGGACACTTCATTTGGTGGACATTGACTAAACTTTACATAGTCAGGCACAGGGACAATATGAATGGGCACACAGGTGTAAACTCGCTGTAGTAATGTTAATAAGAAAAGAATAGAAAATATTTGATCAAATGTTGGTCGGATTAAAAGAGCGTAAGACCAAAAGGATTTGTCAGATGACGAATGGATTGATTGGTTTGGTTTGGTTTGGTTTGGTTTGGGTTTGGTTTGATTTGGTTTGGTTTGGTTTGGTCTGGTTTGGGTTTGGGTTTTTTTTTCTGACGGCAATCCAACCTTACTGGGTTATTTAATATCGACAAGATTTTTATTGCTGGTAATATTTTTTTCAAAAATGTACTGCTCGCAATAATTTTTCAGAAAAAAAATGTATAGCTGGTATTAAAATCTATTTTGACACTGCGTTTGACCCCTTTTGGTGGGAATTAAGTATTTGCCCATAGCTGGGACCCTGACAGGTGCTACTACCTCGGGTCAGTGTGGACCTGGGAACATAGGCAATTACGAGATGTTTCCATGCTCCTGAAAACCTCCCGATCAAAGACCTTGCTGCTGGATGTAGTTTATCGTCCTACCCAGGAGGCGGACATTGTTTATCGTCTTATCCAAGACGGTCTAATGGATTGATAAAAACACTAACAAATATTTTTGAATATTGCTGCGACATGTTGTCTGCTGCTCCTATTTATTTAGATATTCTTCATAAAATCCAAAGAAGAATCTGCAAAGTTATTGGTCTTGACCTGGCATCTCGACATCTCGGCTTGAGTTACTTTCCCACAGTCGTAACGTTGCTTCGCTATGTGTCTTCTATAAAAAAAAACTTTCATGGCAATTGCTCTGATGGACTTTCTTTTCCGGGAGCTAGATTCAGCGCAGTAGTAGATTAGTAACTAGGTTTCATCATTTTAAAGTTAAACTGTCTAGATGTAACCGTAAGTTCTATGCTAATAGTTTCTTCTCTCGCACTTCTCGCTTGTGGAAATCTCTTCCAACCTCTTGCTTTCCCATCAACTTTGACCCTCAAAAATTTACATGTCAATCGTTATCTTCTGTCTCCTTAATTCCTGTTCTTTTATTGTTCCCTCTCTTTAATAATGTCATTTTTCTCATATTCTCTGACACTCAGTAACTTAGTGGCTTTATTGCCTTGCTTGGGGTGAATTGATTAACTCTGCTGCCATTCTTTACTGGACCAAGAAGTGAGTATTTCTGTCATATATGGGCCGGTTCTTTTCAGTTTTTAATTGTACTGTCTTGACAGTGAAAGCACTTCCACGGCCTCGTTGGAGATGAATTATTCTTCACCCTGCAACCCTTATCCCAAATACGAAATTTTGCTGAGCTATTACTATACGATCGTGATTACTATGGTAGATTCACACACGAGTCACTTTCTTTAGTTTTACTGGCTTAAGACTTCATAGCTACGAAGAACCATGCTGTTTTCACGGTGGCAGACCATCCTCGTTCCCTAGCTGGGCCGGTGAAGAGGTGGATTCATACCTTTCCTTAGGGTATTTGATCGTAAGTGAATATAAGTAACCTGACTGGCATTGGAACCCGTCTTTCCGAGCCATTATCTATTACATCGCCCGCACATCGAAGATTACAGCACCTGGTCTTCCCAAGCGGTCACCCATCTAGATACGAGCCATCCTCGACGTCGTGATCGTACAGGAACCGCTGTCCCAGAACGATGTGCCCGTAAGCCCTTTGTTTTTTTAGGAAGGTCTGTTTGGTCAAACTCAGCCCTTTTCAGTACCGTCTTGCACATAAAATTAACATTAGACCTGTTTAAACATTATACAAGAAATACTGAATGTTTAAACATTATACAGAAATATGTTTACCGTGTATATCAATATGAAAATGGTCTTTGGTGTGTCTACATGTCCTGTTGCAAACAACACTTTTATAAACGCCATTACAACTCCCACCCACCATACATAGGCAAGCACATACCCACAACTACCCGATTTTCCACCATGTCAAGGCAGCCATTAATTCCATTAAATAAGGTGGCAACGGTGGCTAGCGAAACCCGATCCGTACAATATTTTCTCCGCCTACCCTGTCCTACTACCTCTCTTCGTTTGCGTCTACCCTTTTCCCCACCCGCCGCTGGCCTGCCAGTCTGGGCTGTGCTAGACTCGCATGTGTTCATTAAATAACTTGCCATTAATTACAAGCCACGTAACGCGTTCCTGATTTTCTACTTCTCATTACATTGGATTTAGGTAAATCTTTCCCAGCCGTTGAGAAACATTTTCCGTTCTCATTTTCCTGCTTTCCTACCGCCATTTTGGTGACAAAGTGTCAGCCATTGTTTTGAGCACGATTTACTTACTTACTTACCAATTTACTTACATGCCATTTCCCAATTGGTATTTATTACTCAACTTACCCTCCTTCTGCCACCGACGTACTGTCAAAAACACGGGACCTACATATATAATAACCTACCTATATAAGGGAACGCCTCGTGGTGTTGTGATTGCTGGGTGGGTTTCGCTTGACCATTACTACTTTAGTTCGATCCTCATTGGGTACACAGCGCTTGTAGCTAAGAAGATCCTGGTTTGGTTTGGGTTGGTTTACGGCATATTAGCCTCAATAGATTATTTAATGCCGACAAGATTCCTTTTTTTTTTTTTAAATGGTAATTTTGTTTAAATGAATTGCTTGTAATATTTTTCTTTTTCAAAAATGTATAGTTGGTAATATTTTTTTTAAATGTATTGCTGGTAATATTTTTTTTTAATGTATTGCTGGTAATATTTTTCTTTTTCAAAATGTATAGCTGGTAATATCTATTTAAATGTATTGCTGGTAATATTTTTTTTCAAAAATGTATTGCTGGTAATGTTTTCCTTTTAAAAAATGTATTGCTGATAATAATGTATTGCCGGTATTTTTTTAAATGTATTGCTGGTAACAAGTTTTTAAAAGTGTATTGCTGGTATTAAAACTAATTCTTACACTTTAATGATATTTTGACCCCAGTTTGAGGGTTAACTATTTGTTCATAGCTGGGACCCTTGCAGGTGCTACCACCCTGGGTCAGGGTGAACCTGGGAACACCAGTAATTAAGAGGTGATTCCACGCCCCTCAAAACCTCCTGATCAGAGTTCTTGCTGCAGGATGTAGTTTATCGTCATACCCAGGACGCCTCATTTGGCGGGTGGGTCTTACCCCTTTGCGGAGATACAGTAGGTGTATTCTGAAGCTCCAGTCGACAGTGTGGGAGAAGATTCTGTTCCATCCAGGAGACACTCACTTGATCATTAACAGAGATTGATCCTCATTGGGTACCCAGGGCTTGTAGCCCAGGTGTAAATTCAGGATCTAGCCAGGTGAATCTCACTTGACCACTACTGCTTCAGTTTGATCCTCACTGGGTATCCAGTGCGTGTGGTCAAAAGATTCTGTTCTATCTAGAAGAGATTCGCTTGACCATGACTAGATTTATTGATTAATTCATTTTCTATGGTTTAACAACCCCTTTCAGAAAATATATTTAGATTGTAAGAATGCTTTTTTGGAGATAATAATAGATTTAGTGATACAAGTCTTACTAATTAATCCATAGCTGGGGGAGAAGATTTATACATGTCTCAAGGGTAAATGAATATAAAGAACCCAACTGGAATTGGAACTCGACTATCCGAGTAAAAATTCCGAATCATTATCCGTTACACCACCCTCACATCCAAGCTTATAGCACCTGATTTTTCTAAGCAGTCACTCGTCTAAGTACTGACTTGGCACGACGTTGCTTAACTTCGGTGATCGTACTGGGACCGATGCTTAAACGTGATGTGGCCGTAGGCAACAATTACTAGAGTTCGATTCTCATTGGGAATCAATCACTCACGGTAAAGGAGCAGATATAGGTTCTAGCCAGATCAATCGCCCTTGATCATTAATTATAGTTCGACCCTCATTGGGTACCCAAATATTTTGGCCTAGTATCAGATTCAAGTTAAATAATTCCTTATAAGAAGACTATTTACATACAAAGCAGAAGTTAGTGTACAGTTGTGGGGGAGCTTGATTCTTACAAAGTGCCTTACATGTGTGACCTTTCGTAATTACATATGTGGGAAATTTGAGCTGGTCTTACTTGAAATTACTCGTGTCGTCAGTGTTTAAAACTCATCACCTTGTGGTCATGAGCATCAGGGTTATCATATGAGGGTCGATAGAAGTTCAGTTTTCATCTAATGGGCGTTAGGACCTCAGTTATCACGCGATGGTCTCTAGGAGCTCAGATATCATCTAATGAGCGTTAGGACCTCAGTTATCACGCGATGGTCTCTAGGAGCTCAGATATCATCTAATGAGCGTTAGGACCTCAGTTATCACGCGATGGTCTCTAGGAGCTCAGATATCATCTAATGAGCGTTAGGACCTCAGTTATCACGCGATGGTCTCTAGGAGCTCAGATATCATCTAATGAGCGTTAGGAGCTCAGTTTTCATTTGATGGGCGTTAGGAGCTTAGTTTACATTTGATAGGTGTTAGGAGCTCAGTTTTTATCTGATAGTCGTCAGGGGGTCGGTTTTCATCCGATAGGCGTTTAGGAGCTTTTTCATCAATTTTCATCTGATGGGCCTTAGCAGTCAGTTATCCGCTGATGGGCGTTAGGAGCCCAGTTTTGATCTAATGGGCGTTAGGAACTCAGTTTTCATCTGATGGGCGTCAGGAGCTCAGTTATCATCAGATGGGCGTGAGAAGCTCAGTATTCATCTGAGGGGTGTTAGGAGCTGAGTTTTAATCTGATGGGCCTTAGCAGTCAGTTTTCCGCTTATGGGCGTCAGGAGCTCAGTTTTGATCTAATGGGCGTTAGGAACTCAATCTTCACCTGATGGGCGTCAGGAGCTCAGTTTTGATCTAATGGGCGTTAGGAACTCAATCTTCATCTGATGGGCGTCAGGAGCTGAGTTTTAATCTGATGGGCCTTAGCAGTCAGTTTTCTGCTTATGGGCGCCAGGAGCTCAGTTTTGATCTAATGGGCGTTAGGAACTCAATCTTCACCTGATGGGCGTCAGGAGCTCAGTTTTGATCTAATGGGCGTTAGGAACTCAGTTATCATCTGATGGCCGTTAGGTGCTCAGTTTTTATCTGATAGGCGTTTGGAGTCAGTCATCCGCTGATGGGCATTAGGTGCTTAGTGATGGCCGTTAGGAGCTCCGTTTTCATCTGATGGACGTTAGGAGCTTAGTTTTAATCTGATGGGCGCTGGAAGAAACGATTACGATTACACTCACTGTGTAATATCTGTCCTACTATAGAGCAATGCATGTTCGACAATTTTCTCGTAGATGAAGTGGAGACTTGAGGCAATAGAGTTCTGGTTCTACAGAAAGATACCATGGAGAGAACGTGTAAGTAACAAAGAAATTGCTGCGCACGATAAGGGCACCTGTGTTTAGAATTAGAAAAAGATAGTTTAAATTTCTGGTATATGTAGTGAGAAATTACGGCTTAGAGAAATTAACACTCACAAGATATATTGAAGGCAATAGGTAAACAGTGTGTAATCCTGGACCATTTCCGTATCGATGAGGAGGAAATTTGAAGCGACGAAGATGTTGTTCTACAGAAGGATTATGAGAATACCATGGACGGAACCTTTGAGCAACTCGGAAGTTTTACGGAAAATTGGAACGAAAAAGAACATGTATTATAAGAATCCGAAAGCGACAGCTTAAATTTCTGGGCTATATAATGAGGAAAGAGGGCTTGGAAAATTAAACACTCGCAGGACAAGAGCAGAAGGAATGTACGATTAAACTACTTAACAAGTTTTTGTAAATGAATATCAGACCGAGGAATGGGAGAGATAATAAGATGACAAACTGCTTTGAACTACAAAAGACAGGAGACTGTAGAAAGCTATAATCGCTCATGTCCTGAACGGTCACCGCGTATAAAAAAAGGGGAATGGTGACGATAAACAATCGTCGTAAATGCTGTGAAAATGTCTATATCTATAATTCTCAAGATGTGTGTGTGTGTGTGTGTGTGTGTGTGTGTGTGTGTGTGTGTGTGTGTGTGTGTGAGTGATCGGATGTTGTATATGCGTTTCCTCAGTTTTCATCCGATTTCGATGAAATTTTTTTTGGTTTGATAGATAATTCTTCAGTGCCGGTTTCCAAATTGTCTGTAAAAAGTTACAACCTTGACGGTGAAAAATCGAAAAAACTAATCTTTTTACACTTTGCGCAAAAATCAAAGGCAAAATTTAATGTCTGTAAAAATCAGCGTACAATCAATTCAGAGAGTTAAAATCTAACGCAAAAAGATTATTAGAATTATTAAAAAAAATTATATTATAAATAAAAATTATCGTATATTATTATTATGACGGTCCATGGAAGAGATTCCTTCCTTGCAAGATTGAAAACGCAAAAACGGCCCCTTTTCAGTATCCCCTCCCCCCATTCAAATTGTTAACCCTCCATTTGGGGATGTGCTTCAGTTGCACCCAAATCTTGTTACTAACAATGATTTTCGGTTGGCCTGACTTTAAACATAAACTGCTCCAACAGAACAACTAAAATTCCTAGTAATGAAACACTCGGTCGAAGACGGGTTATACTGCCTGTCGGTTTTAAATCTCAATAATTAAAGTAAAAATAAATAAATAAATAAACATGGAACCAGCTAGGAATATTTACATTAGACATGAGGCAACAGTGTTGTGGTTCCACAGACGGATGATAAGAATGCTATACAGACCAAATGTATATAACGAGGAAGTTACTGGGAAGGAAAAGAACACTTGTAATTCGGGTGAGAAAAAGAAGTTGTATTTTCATGGATACGTAATAAAGAATGAGGTCTTAGAGAATTTGATACTCACAGGGACTTTAGTAAGAAGACAAACATTACTAAGAGCTAAAAAGGAATGTTGTGGAGAAACATAAATGCCCTTAATTTTTTATTACTGTTAATTCACCCAATACTAGGCCTGAGAGTCACTCAAAGTAGAGGTTTAATAAGTGAGATTGCTGTAAGGAAATGAAAAGGAAGAAGTAAGAAATGCACGTTATGAGGATATGTAGGATATATATCGGTTGACCCTTGACTTGATTGTAGTTAGCATCAGAAAATATTGTTATATTGATTAATGTTGATATACACAGTGGGGGGGGGAAACAAATATTCGTACACATACAAATTTTTAATTTATTGCATTTCCAACTAATGAATAAACATACTTTTCTTGTGATTAACTGTGCACAGATGCATAATAACTAATTATGCAAAGAAAACAGAAAAAATTGATTTAATAGAAATAAATCTCATTTATCAATTTTAATGGGTGAAAAATGTATTCGTACAATGCAAATTTCAGATTTAAAACTTGTAAATTGCTTTAATTCTCTAGATTATTCAAGTGGAATATTCTAAAACGTTCCAATAATGTTATCAATAGTTATTTTTTAATCTAAAAAATACAAACAGAACATTCTGTAATTAATATTCGTGCAAGAAGGTAATCATCATGGCAAGAGGTAAAGAATAGAGAAATTCGCAAAAAGAACTGATTGTTAAGCTCTGGAAAGAAGGTAAAAGTTACAGGAAAATCTCAGACAATCTGAATATTCCATTTACTACCACGAATTCATTCGTTGTAAGGTATAAAAAAACTTAAAAGTTAAGCAACGTCTAGCTTGGTCAGAACCTAGATGGGTGACCGCTTGAGAATACCAGATGATGTAAGCTTGGATGAGTGGGTGCTGTAATGGATAACAGCTCAGAATGAGAAATCCCAGTTAAGCAACGTCTAGCTTGGTCAGAACCTAGATGGGTGACCGCTTGAGAATACCAGGTGATGTAAGCTTGGATGAGTGGGTGCTGTAATGGATAACAGCTCAGAATGAGAAATCCCAGTTAAGCAACGTCTAGCTTGGTCAGAACCTAGATGGGTGACCCCTTGAGAATACCAGGCGATGTAAGCTTGGATGAGTGGGTCCTGTAATGGATAACAGCTCAGAATGAGAAATCCCAGTTAAGCAACGTCTAGCTTGGTTAGTACCTAGATGGGTGACCGCTTGAGAAAATCTGGTGTTCTAAGCTTGGATGTGCGGTTGGTGTAATGGATAATAGCTCAGAATTGATAATCGGAGAGTCGACTTCCAGTTTGTTGAGTTAGTTGCTTACTTTTGGGAAAGGTATGAGTCCACCTCTTCTCCCCCAAGCTGTGAGTTAAGATTTTTGTAAGTAAATCATTATTATCACCCCCCCCCCAAAAAAAGTATCTCACAATATAAAAATATTTTCCAACTTTAAATAACCTTTGAAGTTTTGGTAATCCATAGAAAACGAATCAATTAAAAAAACTAATGAAGAATTGTTACAGCTTGATTGCCGTCCTGGGTAAGACGATAAACTACATCCAGCAGCAAAGCCTCTGATCAGGAGGTTATGAGGAACGTGGAACTACCTCTTAACTGCTGGTGTTCCCAGGTCCCCCCTGACCCGGGGTGGTAGCATCTGCTATGGTCCCAGCTATGGGCAAATAGTTAACGCCCAATTTGGGGTTAAAACACTACGAAAGTGTAAAAATAGGTTTTAATACGAGAAATACTTTGTAAAAATTATTACATTTTGGAAGAAAAATTAATACATTATTACCAGCAGTACATTTTTGAAAAAAAAAAAAATACCAGATATTCATTTTTGAAAAAATAAATAAATTAACAGTTATACATTAAAAAAAAAAAATTACCAGCAATACATTTCTGAAAAAAAAATATTACCAGCAATAAAAATCTTGTCGGCATTAAATAACCCATTGAGGTTGATATGACGTAAAG